TTTCTACTCTCTTCTCTCCAGCAAGGGATGCGCTTCAGTGTTGATGTGTTTGGAGAAACCAGAGGGTACATTCTGGAGGTGTATGGATGCCACTTTGAACTTCCTGACCTGGGCCCAATAGGTGTGTGTGTGTGTGTGTGTGTGTACATTTTTCAAACAAGAGGTGGTTTTTTACATGTCCACATGTATAGTTGTACTAATTAAGAAAAGTGCAGCTCTTTTACTACAAGGCCTTTGTCTTCCTTTGAAGACAATAAACAAAGGAAGGATAGTCCAGCTATAGGTAAAAATTCTTACTATAGGTAAAAGTTAGCCAAAATCTGCTAATAAGTAAAACAAAAAGTAACTTGCATATAAATTAGCAGGATATGTTAATTAATTAATGATGGTCAAACTGCTGCAAAACTAATGACCACCTGATGTGTTGTACTTTTGTATTTTGCCATTTATTAATCACCATTACACCACAAACTAAATTAAACTTGGTAAATTTGTGAGCGCATTAGCATGCTAATGCTTAAATACACCCTGACAAAGCCCCTGAGGTGCAGCTGTAGACTCAGTGCTCCGTATTCATTAATCCACTATAGTCTCTAACTGGCAGATCAATAGCACGACTGAGCAGACAGCAGTAAGTAGAGCTCCTGGACACTTGACTGATCATTATCATTTAGTATCTTAGCTGATAGCTGTGCGGTCGCATCCACCTGTGTGCCTCAGTGTGAGCTGTGATCCTTTATCTGCACATTTCTGAAAGATCACATGATCATGTCTCTACAGGAGCCAACGGTTTGGCCAACCCCAGGGATTTCCTGTGTCCAGTTGCTTGGTACGAGGACCGAACCGTATCTACGGGTTACACCGTCATCAACAAATACCAGGGGAAACTCTTTGCCTGCCAACAGGTGATTTTTATTTTATTTTTGCGTCACTCAAGCACAGATTTAAACGGACTCCACGCATGACACCTTTGGCCTATTTACCCTATTTAGGCTTGTGTCTGCCTCAGTAAACACCATCCAGCCGCAACAGCAACTTCCAGGAAACTGCCCCAACTGAAGCGTATGATCCATTAGCCGCTCCTGCCCATGGAAAAGCCAGAGCTGATGATTTAATATTCAAGTGTTAGCTGTTATTCATTCAGTGGGTTTCCGCCTCGGCTCCCTCATGGGTCTTAATCACTGGTAATTAGTTAAGGCGTTCAGAGATGCAGACAGTGTTCCCGCGATGCTTTGCTTTGCATGAAAAGCTGAGTTAGTTTCACATCTACACGTTAATTTCAGCATATTTCACTCAGCCCTCCATAAACATCCTGTTGGGATCCTAATTGGAGCAGCACATAATGTGTGTCAGGACTTAAGCTTCTGGAACATTATGTGATGGAGGTTAGAGGTGACAGTACCTAACATGGTTTTTTTTGGTATCCTCCCTCACCCCGAGTCTGGAGGGTGAGGCTGATGGGCTATAGAAAATAAGTCAGGGTACACAAGCCTCATCTCAGGGAAGATGCAGCCGCTGCAGCCGTCTGCTCCCGCTGTTTTGTTCCCCTGCAGCGTGCTGAAATTGCTCAAATTAACTTATTATTTGCTTGACTGGCCCAATATGTTTGTGTTTTGTGTGCATGTGTGTGTAAGTGCTTTCTCGCCTCCATTTTCCCCCTACATTTTAATCGAATGTTGTGGAGTTACTGCAGGTGAATGTCCAATAAATTGCCTGCACTGGGTTTCCCAAAGGCCCTTTCATGTCTTAGCTACTGTGAACTGCATGTTTTTTTTATTTCTTGTGCCATTTTTATTAGTAATGTGCAAATTTAACTTGTGCCTAGATCTGGTTACAAATATGTGAGTGTCTCTTTATTTCCAGTCGTTGTGTGTGAGCTGTTTTTCGTGCAGATCCGAGTGTGTGTGAGGGGCAGGGAGGTCACTCAGGAGGCTGCTTGAGTTGTAATGAACGATATTGATTTCACAGCTCCTGTTGAATGTCTTCTTCAAAGTGACATTATCAGAACAAAGAAAGTATACAAAATTGCCATGGTTTTAACAATCACGACGAAGAAATATCTCTGCACTCACTGGTAATTCTGCTCCCCTCATAACTGTGCCACTGCCAGCATCAAAATGCTCAAACTTTGGGAAAGTTTGATTGTAAGGCCAATTACCCCATAATACCTGCAGCCTGGTATCGTGGAAAACTGGGAGAATGAAAGAGAAGAAAGAATAAAAGAAGAAAACCCTCTTTCACAATCAACCCTTTTCATTATGACCATTTTTTTTGTCAAGACGTACTTTCTCTGAGAATTTAAGATTACAATAAAATTATTCATTGTTCCCTCTTCCCTGTGAAAATCTCAATTTAAAGTCTTTTGTGTGTGCTTGTGTGTGATTTTTTTTTTGGCTTTGTCCAACTTGTCTTATTTGTTTTGGTGTGTGAATAGGAATTTTCTCCCTTCAATGTAGTCGCCTGGCACGGCAACTACACACCTTACAAATACAACCTGACGAACTTCATGGTGATCAACTGTGTGGCCTTCGACCATGCGGTAAGAGTCCTTCTTGTCATCCGTTGCTCTTCGTAGCAGCAGAATTCTTTGACTCTAACCTTCAAACAAATAAGCCCCTAAAACATGACATTTTTCTTCTTGACAATTTTTAGGATCCATCAATTTTCACCGTGCTGACAGCCAAATCCACACGTCCTGGGGTGGCCATTGCCGACTTCGTCATCTTCCCACCACGGTGGGGCGTGGCTGACCACACCTTCCGTCCACCATACTATCACCGTAAGCTCAAAAATCAAAAGTTCTGCACACGTGTGAAATGAGGTTTGTGTTTTTATCCTATCCTGTCACGTCATCTGTCACCACAGATGAAGTTACAGCTACTGGACGATGGGCAGGGGACACTTTTGACAGGTCATCAGATAACATTGATGTCATGAGGATTAAATATAATGTAGATCAAGGGTCTTCAGGGTTTTTCCGACCAAATATCCCCAAAATGATGGAGAAATGTAACAGGGAGCTCCTACTGCATATATATTATACAGCCGTGTTTTTAAAACTATGGTATGTGTACCACCATTAATAGTTTGGCTCCCTCTAGTGCTACGTGGGAGAATTTGATTAGCTAAGTCCCTAAGTTGACAAGAATACATCTTATTATAAAGATTTTTTTTAAAGAGAGTACACAGTATAAAAGTTTGAAAACCAGTGATTATAAATGATTATGAAAAAATGATTATAAAAATAGTGTTTTACATTAAGGTTAGCTTTACTATGCTATTCAAATACTACACGGCTTTGTATAGTTGAAGTAAGAAAAGAAGTAAGTATATCTTTAAATACTTATGAAAATATTCATTATATAGGTTATTAATTTTAAATTGTTTACCAGTATGTCAATTTTAATCCAACAAAACTGTCATGACCTTACTGCAGTATTTCTGTGGATCCCTAAGGGTCCATGAACCTCTTGTTGCCAGACTTTGGTTTATATAATCCTCTGTCTTTACCTTGGCCAGGTGTCAGTACACATTTAACTTACTGATGCTAAAGTTCCCAATTTTTTCCTAATTAGATAAAAATCCGTGCACACAAAACTCAAAACTTGTTTGTACACAACTCTACTTGGATAATGTTTCATTTTAAAGATAATATGTTCGTCTGCTGACGCTGAGTCACTGAACCTCGCCTGGTTTTACTACGGCTCTACAGGGCCATCTTGTGGAAAATAACCGCTACGGCTTGCTTTAGTATATAATTCAACCGCATGTAAAACGCCTGCACTACATGTGACCCCAGGTAACTGCATGAGTGAATTCATGGGCCTGATCAAAGGCCACTACGAGGCCAAAGAGGAGGGTTTCCAGCCAGGAGGTGGCAGCCTCCACAGCATAATGACCCCACATGGCCCAGATGCTGACTGCTTTGAGAAGAATAGCACCACTGATCTTAAACCTGAGAGAGTGGCGGAAGGAACCATGGTAAAAAATGTTAATAATATATAATTAATAATAATAATATTAATTTTTACCAAAATGTCTGTGATGTAATTCATTATTTAAAAAAAATTCTCCCAGGCTTTCATGTTTGAGTCGTCCTTCAGTATGGCAGTGACAAAGTGGGGTCTGCAGACATGTCAGAGGCTGGACAAGAGCTATTACCAATGCTGGGAACCACTCCGCAGCCACTTCAACCCCAAATGGAAGCCCAGCCAACAGTAGACAAAGTGGAAACATTTTAACCAATAATGCCCCGTTTTTCCAAAACCTAAGAAACTTAATTTTAATGTTCTAGTGTAGTGATGTTAACAACAAACTTAATGGGCTACTAAAATGGTCTGGTCAATAAAAGTTATACTAACATATTGTATACAAATGTTTATATGAACATCTAATCATAATTTTAAAGGGATCCTACCATATTTTTGACTCAAATGTTTCTAATGGGACAGTTCAAATTTGAAGTGTCAATGTGAGCCATTGATTTATTCTAATGTGAAGTACTGACAATACAAGGAGACTGAGTAACAACATAATCTTCTGGCTGCTCCTTTTGCAGGTTCCCACAACAAATCAGCTGGCTCCATCTCACCTCAGAAATATTCTTGCTTTTCTTGTTTCTTTGCTGGTTAGGCTCCATCGCACGCTTAACCATTGTCTGAATAATTTCAACCCCGCTTGTCTAAGGTTATCTCTTCACTCATGGACTGTTTCTATGCTTCAGGTGTATTTAATTTCCTGGTTTAAAGCATCTTCAACTCTACTATTTCTGGCTCAGTTCTGTCTTTAAGATGGTTTACATTACTGTTTCATCCCTGCAGATCTCACTGCTGCCATGTACATGTTCCCTTGCAACCTTGTTGATATTCATGATCACACCCTTAAAGTCTGCCGTCATCCTCTTTATCCACTGCCTCTTTTCTGCAACAACTATCGCTTTGAATGGTTGACCTTAAGTTCTTTCCCACATCTACCTTTGCATCCTTTACATAAAGAAACATACAATTTAAGAGCATCACAGTGACACCAGCTTTTTGTTGCAACAATATATTTTAATTTGGTTAATGATAATTAGACATTATCATCGGACAGACAGGAGGTGTATAAGTAGAGAAAATTAAAATTCCATAACTTGAAACTTGCGACATGGATTCCCATCCTTGATCCGCTGGGCTTTTATCTCCTGTAAAAACACATACAGATAGAAGATGGGTCAGAACCATTTTTTAGGGTCGTAGATTGGTGTCACTTTCTTCACCTGCTGGACAATGCCCCCAGCCCCCCTACACACACCATTTCTGAGTGAGCGTTTTATGACTTACAAGCATTTTTTTTTAAATCTTTTTTTATCTGCGCTGAGAAAAGAGAGCAACGCGATTACTGTGACAATTGCCTGAGATTTATGCTTGAATTTCTTTTGGTGAAGGAAGGCAGCAGCAAATCTCCATGACAATGGAGAGAAAAATGAAAGCAGGCAGCATTTGGAATGAACGTCTCATTTCTGTTGTGAATAGAACAGGGACAAAAAGAAAAACCAGATCAAATGTGCACCTACAAGGAAATAACAGGAGCCAGATTATGGCTAAAAAAGCCTTTCATTTGGGTCTGATGTCGTTTGAGAAGAACTTTTACATTTCAGTATAAAGGTACAGTGGATGAGACATCTGTTTGACAGCACCTTTTACTTCGTTAATAATTAGATTTATTGTGGTTACCCAGAAAACTTATGATTGGATACAATGCGATGTCATTTTCCACGACAATTATCTTTATTCACTAGATTTAACTTTTTTGTCTAAAAAATAATGTTATCACTTGTTTTGTTTTTTCATCAAAACTATACAGTTATTAAACTCAGTGGCTTGAATATATTGCTAAATGTAATTGCCAATCTAGGGACAAGGTCAATCACATCCATATCCAGAGATATTTCACCACTTCACTCATCTCCTTTACAGATTGTTGATACAACAGTGGATTAATGTATTTTTTTTAGTACAGAACAGATAATTAAACCAAGATATCTTGTGCACTGTCTTACCTAATTAGAAGGAGCATTTAATTTTAAAGATTATATATAAGAAACAGACACAGCAATGTCATAGCATAAGTGACGTACTGAAAGTGAAACAAAACTATCCTGATAAAACCTATAGGTCATTAGAAGACCAACACAGAATAGCACATTTAAAGGGGACCATCCAGGTAGAATTGATTGCTGGGGTCTCTGTTGACAATATAGGCAATATGTACAAAATTACATGAGGATCAGGAGGTGAAAACTACAGACTCTGTGCTTCCATCTTGTATACAATATTGTAAATAATTACAACAGCAATTACTTAAAATGAGATGTTAATGGTCACCCTGCTGTTTCTTACCCTGTCCCTCTTGAGGGCGTAGAAGATGGCGCACAATGGTACAACTCCATACAAAATACCCAACAGAGATGTCCTAAGTGTTGGCCTAAAATGCTCCAAGGTGTGGTTGCGTGCATACACCCAACGGTTCAGTGCCGGGTCCTCCTGAATTGACAAAGAAGTAGAATACGTTTTCAAATTGAATGATATGCGAAACTGTAATCATCCCAAAAATATTAAACCACTTAACTATTATATTGTGTCTAGAACAACAGTTGACCGTATCTTGTTAAGCTTTGTTCTAGACACTTTTTCTAACCACCGAAATTCGTAACATTTTACCTTTATCATTCTTAAAACGTTAAATACTAAATGTGATTTAACTATGGGTGCCGTGTTGGCTCACATCTGTACACGCTCGAATTGCATACAAACGTCGGTCCGAGTGTAGCATGGGTGGATCTCACATATGATATGAAAACACAGGTAAATGAACAGAAACAGCTCCGTATGACATTTTGCTTCGAATGTATCCTTTTTTGGTGGAGCGCTACAGTTAGCATCGTAGCCTGAGCGGTTTTCAAGGGTAACGTTGCTTGCTAACTACATCCACTTACAATAAGCTGTGTTCTATGTGGGTTGTTCAGTTGTAGCTGGTACTGTCTCTTCAGATTGGCTTGCATGGCAAGCCTGTCTTTTTGTTGACGTCTAAATTCCGGCGAAGTATTGAAATACTCATTCGGATCAAGTGTTATTGGCTGAGTGGACAAGGACGCTTTCTTCCAGTCCGCCATGATTGTTTGGTGTTCGGCAGAATGATGCGATGACGTAGACTCTCGCGATGAAATGCAGCAAGGTTGCAAGTGCGGATACAGTCAAAGCCGTCTTCATCTTTTTCTGAAAAATATGTACTATTTCCGACATTTGTTCTCTGTTGAACGTGTTTTGTTATTTTCACGCCTCCTGTCGTTAGTTTAGTGTACAATATAACAAAAAGGTTGTATTTTATCTATTTATATAATTTGTAAATATGGATGTATTGTCAAATATGCATTTATGGATATTTCATTTAAATTATCACAATTACTTCTCAGCAATTTTCATTGGATGACCTTGAATTAAACGTTGGGATTTTTACTTTTTACGTTTTAATTAAACATTTGACGCCCTTTGCGATTTATCTGATTAAATAAATTAATAGAGGCAACTGAAATATCACTGATAATGAAAAATAATGTTATTTATTAGTATAAAATATTCAATGGAACATTTTTATGGACGGTTTGACGTCATCGGACCTACATCAAAGGAAACAGTTTTACACTTCATCTATTTGTGTGTGTGTGTTAAGTGAGACACTAACACAACATCACTTTTCTAACAGAAAGCCCTCGGTCAGCATGTCAAAGCACCACACACGTCAGCCTGAAGCTGTGGATGTCTTTTTACGCACGTTCCTCTTCCAGATGGGCATGACCCAAACTCTCGACTGTTTCCAGGCCGAGTGGAACGAGCTGGAGCAAAAAGGGCTGCGGGATACGGTGCAGGTCGACCTGGTACCGGACATTTATAGCGACATCCAGCGGCTGGAAATTAAACTGAAAAACGCTCGCAGAGAGAAGAAGGAGTACAGACGAGACACTTGCACCGCGGCTGAGACTCTGGTCAAGGCTGAGAAGACCAGAGACTTCCACAGGATGCACCACCAGCGTGTTATCCAGGAAAGAGACACGCTCTTCACGGAGAGAAGAAGGCTCAGAAACCAGTGTGACATCTACGAACCGGCCATCTTGAGAATGAATGAAAAATGTGAGAGACTGTTACAGCAAACTGCTCTGTTGACTTTAAAGAGGGACAACAAGTGTTTTGGACAAGGGAGTAGTTCCTCTTCTGCTCCGAGGAAGATTCTACAGCAAGGCCAGACCGTTAAACAAAAACCTAAACAGTCTCAAATCTCTGGATCATCCAGGGAGACAGCCTGTTAATGACTGGAATGATGGAAATGTGGACAAGGTCTATGTAAATGTCACCAGAAACCCATTCACACTTCACAGTTGAAGTAACCCTGCACGTTTTCCCATGCAACCTGCATCTTGGGTGAAATATATCAACAAACTTTTTTTTTTTTTTTTTTTTTTTTACCATAATGCTGTAATGTTGGAAGTGTACAAGGCCGGCCGGAGTGGCTAATCGGGACATTCGGGAGTTTTCCCGATGGGCTGGCCCATGTCAATCTTTTGGTCCGCTTGGATCAAAGGCATCATTTAAACACGTATCTGTCACTTATCTAATATTCTTGCGTATTCTTCATTCAACTATAGGCTACATTAATTCTCCATGGAAGCACATCACAGCAGATTAGATGGGTTCTACCATCTAAGGGAATTTCTCCCCTCCCAAATGTTCCAGTTGGTTGGGCCCAAGAGAGGTCTTTCTGTATGTATATGGAGCCAGAGTTTGAGCAAGTGACGTGAGGTCAGGGGAGGCACTGCCTCCCCTTCCATCATGATAAAAAAGTACACAAGATAAATATTAATTTTTCCACTGATCTGTCTTAAAACTGCATTCTCAGTGTGACTACACATTTTCGATCAAATATAGCGCCGTAATCCCTGGTGAGCTGTGCGATTCAATAGAAACTGGATCGTATGACGTGTGCCCGTTTCTGTTCCTCAGCATATCGCCAACATGCCCTTTACAGAAATATTTGTTATACAGCATGACTCTCTACAGTCTGTGCAATTCAATTCAATTCAATTTTATTTATAGAGCACATTTCATACACAAGGCAAACTCAATGTGCTTTACAGTGGTTTAAACATGTAATGTCTTTAATGTATGAGAGAATTGTTTCTGCTGATCTTACAAAAAAGTGCAGAGAAAAGTCAGCTGGAGGCCTCAAAGGGTCATCTGAAGGTCAAAATTAAGTTTGTGCTGCACTCATCTCTATACTTTAATTTGTTTACAGTAAAGTTGAAGCTACTTAAGAGTTTAGTGTAAACCTAACAATAGAACACAATTCTGTTAGGAAGGCATATGCAATTTTGATTTCAAATGACTGCTCCTGCTCCTCCAAAGATAAATACATTTTCTTGTATTTTTCAGTGCACGGCTGTGCCTCGTTATCCAATCATAAGCGGCATCTACAATCCACCAGGTGCAGGCTCATTAGTTTGTTAATGGGTAAAGATACACAATCACTGCACACTATTGTCGTTGCAGCTAAAGGAAAATCCCAGCAACTCTTATGCTGAATTATGCTGCAAATACTGATCGCATCAAATGTGTGCAAATGTTACAGAAAATGACCAACAAACACTACTCGAACCAGCAACTCATTGTTTGCCTCTGTCTTCTGTGACAATACCAAGATAAAAAGTATCTTCATAAGGCTGAGGAAAAAGTAAAGTAGTATGAGCATAAAGTATTTTGTAGATTGACTAGGTAGCTGTCTTGTTGTAAAGAGACTTCTACTTCTGTGGCTCCATCTGTCATTCCACACCTCCCAGATTTAGCTGGCTTTGGCTTTTCTTTTCTGCTGGGTGTTTTACTTTTATAATTTATTTATTATCTGTCGACTGTGAGTTTAAAGAAGAACTGTCCTATATTAATTTAGCTGCTTCCCAGTTACATTGCAATAACAGTATCCGGATCAAAATCCAAACCTGTAATACTCTGGATTTTCCATTGTCTACAAATAGTCCACAGATGCACTCCGGGAAAATCATCTCCCAAACCTGCCCTTCCCCAAAGTAAAGTATTAAAAGTACTCAGTACTAATAAATGACTTCTGTGGGTATTTATCATTACATTATTACTGCAGCTCCCAGGAGCCAACTTGTCCCTTTGTCTTTGCAGTACCAAATTTTGGCCAATAGATGGCAAAGTGGTTACGTTGTAGGCTTGACTGCATTTGCATCGAACCTTTTATGGCTGGAAGCAGTTGCAGCTGGAAAGAGAGCACGCGGATTCGTCTGTCAGTTATGCAGTCGATATCACATTGATGCTCCAAAGTGACGGCACGGTGAGCAACAAATCCTCAGCTACAAACGACACAAAGACTCTAAGCTGCGCAGCGGCAGTAACTTTGTTTTGACTTAGTTAAACTGTGACAGAAGAAATCGGCCAAACAAATGAACATCGGTGTATAAACATGGGCACGTTTCAAATTTAATGGATTTTGGTTTTAATTTGCAGCATGATTTGGTTATGATGTGCAAATTTGTGCAAATGTTTTTTTCTCTCTTTTTTAAACAGCACTCCATTTATCATGCAAGGTTACCAGTGTCGTCATTAAGATGTAAATAGTCTTTACTTAATTTAACTGTTTGAACATTAGCTTTGGACTCTTTGTTATATAGTCTTTCTCCCGTTGTCACCATGTAAACTCTGCTCAACCATAACTATAAACTTTCATGTAGTTAGTCAACGTCTGTACTGTAAAAACAAACAAACAAACAAACAAAAGCAGCTCTATTAGCCGCAGTATTCAGAAGCAATGTTATTATTTTTCTACTGACAGCTCGAGTGTGGCGAAAATATTTTATTTATGGTCCTCTCAGATCCTTTAACGACTTTTTGAAGCATCTATTTTTGTCTGTCGTTCCAGGACAGACTTTGAACCCTCTTCTAATGTATAAAAACATGTTTTTAACACAAAAAGCAGGCAGTCCAACAGTTAATGTACAATAAATAAATAAATCACATTTGGAACTTCCTGGATTTATAACATTGATCATATTAACCCAACAGGTGGCAGTGTTGCTGGGCCACAGCAAAAAGCAAAAGAAGAAGAGGACGAGAAGAAGAAGTGGGGTGAGCCAAGAGAAGAAGGTAGGACTACTTTTTTAACTAGTGTTACAGCATCTGTCTTTATGTACTGTAGACCAGCACACTGTCCCCCTGTCTTCTCTTCCTCTTGTCCTCCTGCCTGGCTGCTGCATCTCCATCATCCTTAGTTCATCTCTTCATCTTATCTCCAAACTGCTCAATCTCAGCTGCTCACTTCAAATTCTTTACATTTAAATCATTCCTATTGTAAATCAAATCAATCAAACCATCTCAAGCTCCGTCTTTTCTCACCATTGTCTCCATTAAATTATATATGTGTGTACCCATATATAGGTGGCATAGTAGAAAGGACTGGTGAATACATTTGGAGTTGGTTGAAAGGAAGTTAGTTGAATGTACATAAGCCGTCCATATAATCTAATAAGACGACCATTTCCAGTAATCGGTAGTCATTTTGTGCTGTTTTCTTTTTTAATGACTTTTACATAAAAGTCTCGCTGGAAAAGTGGAAGCAGGTTTCTCTCTTGACCACAAGTCATTTTCTCGTCTTCATGAAAGACCCTTGAAGTAGTTTGAGGTCAGAAAATGACCTACTGCTAACCTTCTGCCAAATTCATATTCCCTGACCCAGTTTTTCCATTACTCTTGTGCTGCCGAGGAATGCAGCAGAGGAATGTTTTCAACCTTGTTTTTATCTACAGTCAGGACATAATCATTCCATTTTAGAGCCTTTGTAATTTTCACAAATGCTTAGGGTCGGTGAGGTAGTGCCTGAAAGGCAACATGTTATTTCGAGTCAACATTTTCTACCGCAAAACCCTAGCCAGACTCCTCCAACTGGCGTCCATTCCTCCTCCTTGCTCCTCATCCTTCAGGTCTGAGGGGAAGTTGTGCCAAGAGAAGTACCAACTCTGTGACTCCATCTCTAAATGCCCCGGACTGATTGGAATTCTCCTTCTTTTACCCATCGACTCCCAGAGCCCTTCTTCTTTACTCTCTGACAGACCTGTCCACTTCAGGGCCCACAGCTACACTGCTATTATACAAAAACAGTCTCTGTCGCTGGAACAAACCCAGTGACCCAATGTGACTCACATTTATGCAGCAGTGTAATCCCATAAATCAAAACTGGGAAAATAATATCTTGAAACCAACATCTATGTCCTGTGATGAAGTATTAGAGCCACATGAGAATGCAAAAAACATTTTTTTACATGACTAAAGTCATAAAAATAAATAGTCGATCGAATAAAAGTGATTAATGACTAAAGTCATAAAAATAAATAGTCCATCGAATAAAAGTGATTATACTGTAAATATTACTGGATGCCAGGAAGCTGCTTTGAAATGGGTGTGATGTGGTGGAAAGTGTACTCAAATTCTCAAAATTTACTTAAAGATGTTCAGTGCACTCGTTGTCTTGTTCTCATTCTTTTTTTTTTGCTTTCACCTGGTACTTAAAGTTTTTCCTTGTACCAATATATTGTTACTGTGTTACTGTGAATGTAGGAGGACAGTTTTTCCTTGTACCAATATATTGTTAGTTACTGTGAATGTAGGAGGAAGCTGTGCAGTTCGAGGTTCACTCCAAACACCAAAGTGCTGCTTCTGTTGGTTTTTTCCTGTTGCGAAACCTTTGTGAACACATCAAATGAACTCAATAAATACACGTTGGTCAGGCTAAAACCACTACTATTTATGGTTAGATATTTAACAACGTATTATAATGAGGAGTACAACTGTCTCGGGGGCCCCGGACACTGAGGGCCCCCAACAGAACTAATGTTTATCCTATTAGTTCAACATTTTGGGGGAATATAATTATTCATTTTCCACGAGACAACACTTTAATGAGGAGTAAATTTGAGGCTGGAGCCAAAGGATGGTGAGCTCAGTTTAGCATAAAAGCAAGAAAACAGTCTTTCAACTAAGATAACAAGCTTCATCCACTTGCATCAGCATCTGTGTGAAAATAGATTTAAGAGGAAGTAGTGATTTGCTGGAGTCTGGCTGTCACCACGAGGTTTCCAGAAAACCCAGCAGACTCCATGAGCGGCAGCATGGCAATTCTTTCTGCCATTTTTCCTTTTCGTACACTCGCTATTTTAAAAATAAACACAAGTGCATTCACACAGGTAATTATAGCAACAATGAAGGTCCTAACACTGTAAACCTGACATCCTTTGCATCCTTGCTGCCACGGTCCTCCATCCCACTAACCTGTGTTTACAGTAAATCTCATTTCAACCTTTTTTTCCACCTCTTACTTCTGCATCTAAAATTGTTCTTTTTCCTCCAAAACACAACACTGGCGACAGCGCATTACAGGTTTTGCCTCCTGGATGTCATCATAAAGTGGCTGTGACAGGAAATTTTGCCCTAAGTTTTGACTTCCGCTGGTTAAAAAATATTTGGTTGACGTTTGTTTGCAGCAAGAGAAGGAGGATGTTGCCGGTGGCAGAGTGGCTGTGGACGTGCAGATGAAAGTGTTGTTTATAGGCCCTGCAAAAGTCAATGGATTCTGCGATGCTGCATAAATAACCCTGTGGCTGCCGCGTGTAGTAAAAGGTCAGCAGAATGATACACGGAGCTGCAATCACAACACCATTACTGGTATCACATTTACATCTCTGTTTTCTGTGTTTGACCGACGTCCGTTCCTGAAGGCCAGTGGCATGAGACAGTGTGTGACAACTGATGGAGGAGGTTCTGACACACAGAGTTATGGGGATTGTTTTGAGGAGGTGATGTAAGGGCCAGAGAGAAGTGATCCACACAATAGACAGCCAACGCCCTGTGCTCGTCTGATGAGAAGGGACAGGATGTGAATAGAAATAGCCAAAAATGAAGCCTTTAAAGCATGGCCATAGGCAGTGGCAACAGAAAAAGGGAGCAAAAACCATTTTAAGTAATAATGAGAGCAGGATACCTTGACTTGACCGCAGTCATGGAGAAAAGACAGGTTTCAATTGACACATTATTTTATTCAAGGTCCAGATGTCAAACAAAACAAAGGGCAAAACGATCTGTGTGTGCATTTAAACGCTGTTCTACTGTGGTGTTGTCAATATTCTACACTGCAAACCATGTCAGTATAAAGTAAAGGTTGGACATTTTAGGACATCAGTCACATGACTGGAAGGACGTGCTTTTGATTCTCATCATCCGTCCTAAACCTGGAGTTAACCACAGCTGCCTTAGGTTTGGTACAGACATGGGAGCTGGACTATAGAGATAATGAGCCACTGTTATTAGACTACCGACAGTAATAATGGTCAAAGCCACAAAATTAGGGCTGTGGATTAGTGGCTAGAGCAAGTTGCTTCCAACTGGAAGGTTGGGGTTTTTAATCTCTGGCTCCGTCAGTAAACACGGTGATGTTTGCCTGGGCAAAACTTTTAACCCCTAATTGCTTGTGGCAAATGGTTGGTACCATGTGAAAAGTGCGTGACAACAAAAAAATAAACTGCAGACACATATGTGCTGTGTGTGATGCAAGAACCGTCCCTCGTCTGCTACTAAGGGTCTCTGAATCAGACAAAAACAACCCCAGGGTTCCAGAAAATACCAAAACATGTCTGACTTACTCTGCAAAAACAGCCCGACTAGAAACAAGTAGAATATTCTTTAGTGTGATTAAATCATCTGGTATCGAGGAAACAAATCTGCCATTGGGATGAGACTCTTTGGTCGCACGAATATTTAAGTACAAGTACAAATGTCTTAACTTCAAAACACTAATATGTCTTGACACCTGACAGAAAATTCAAATTGAAATGAATATATTTCACTCTTTTCTTAGATCCATCACTGTGTTTGTTCTTGGATCTTTTAAACTCCTTTTTGATGTCGTTTTTATCATTTTTATCAGACGGAGTGTCATCGCAGCATTCACCCAGTATTCAGGTACTTTTCTTTGGTACTGTACCTTTTGCTTTGCTCTTCAGAATCACGACCAGTAACAAGCTTTGGGGCCTGAATGATATTTCTCAGGCAGGTGAAGAGTTGTTCAAGTTGTGTTCAACATTGCCCGTACATGTGTTGATGATGTCACAGTGAGGTCATCTACAGTAAGGCCAAGACAACTCGGGATTATTATCAGATTACCCTGAGCTCTCCTTTAATTCACTTGACAGACTCTAACTCTCTGGAGCTGTTTTAACTTTTTCTTTGCTTTTTTTGTTTGAGATTTTTGTTTGCTGGTTTGCCGTGGGGTTTTGTGCCGTGGCTCAAAAAAGGTTAACACTGGTCTAAACACTGTTAACCTTACTTCTAAATCAGTTGAATTTTCCCCAAGATCAGACTCCCTGAGCTGAACATCCAGCCATCCAAACAGTTTTCTAAAAGACAAACCTCTCTCATGTTTGTGACTGTCTTTTCCCACATCGCATGTTGTGCGGGGGATGAGATGCTCCCCTCAACAAGAAACTAATACTTAAGCCATGGTTTCTACTTAAAAAGGATGTAGACCATAAGCCACTAACTGCACACGAACCTGACAGAACTTTTACGGCAGTATCTGACATATCTCTCTGCTCGGGCCTTTTCTCACCGCAGCCCTATAGTTTGATGGCTTTCAAAATGGTTCCGTTAGTGGTGATTATCATCAGCTTTCTTCTTGGTGTGGGGGTGTGTGGGGGGAGAGGGGGGGGCAGTCGACAGCCCAGGCAGAGTGGAAACAATACCACACACCATTACACAGCTGCCGTGGGTGAGACGTAGCTGTACTGATCGTGTTTGTGTTGACCGCGTATGGTGAGACATTTCTCACATTTAACTTTCTACCTCACAGGACAAGCGTTTTAATGGCTGCCTTCTATTTATGCTGAATGTTGTGGAGCCATATTGGATTTTGAGGCGTAATCCTGTGTTTTGTTTTTTAGATGTGTTGCAGTGTGCAGTGTGTGTGGAGACACTTTGTTCCATTGCCTTGTTCTGTCATATTTCTAACCCAGAACTTCAGAGGGGGCATTAGTCTATAGTGGGGGACTTCAGTGTTTTATAGGCATCTATATGTTGTATAAAATATATAAATAAATGAA